AACTGTGTATTTGCATTTTTTACCGAATGCTTACCCTCTTGTATTTAAAAACAATTATTTTATCTGGGTCATTTGAATTGTTCTTGTTTATTGTCAGGAGTAAAGATGAATAGCAATAGGAAAAGCAAAGCTTTTGAATTGAATACCAGATTAAAATTTCAAAATCACATGGGAGCACAATATAAGTTTTAATCCATTCCCACATGAAAACAGATGATTATTCAGAAATCAAAATTCAGAGAAACTCATAAGTGTAATCAATGGAAAGTGGATTCAACTGTTAAGAATTGGCAATAAAATGTTTCCGATTGTCCAGCTTTACATTAACAAATTATGTTGTTGATTTTACAAGATTTTTCCTTAAAGTTTAAAATGCCAGTAATTTTTGTGGGACAATGTGTGCATTTATGTTCATTTGATACTATACTTGTGAATAAACGAAATAATATTAGAATTGTATTAATAATATAATTTTCTTTATTTTGATCTTTAAAGCCACACCTTGTCCTATGTGCGAGTAAATACAGTATTTAATTTTTTCTTAATACTACAGCTTAAAGTTTTATTCTAATATCTTTAACAATTTAAAAGCTTTATCATTGGTGTATGATATATCATAAATATTTAAACAAGAAAATGAGCTTAAAGAACAAAATTTTCCCACTGACTTAACATGGGGATGAGTTTTATCCCATATCTCCCCATTGTAGGTTGAATTTTAAAATTTGCCCTCTGTCACAACATTCTGTTTTATTACTTCTATTAATAAGAAAAATTTTGTTCAAGTTGGTCAAGTCATTACTTCGCAAAACATGTTTCAACAATTTGTCAAGAATCAACGTTGCTGCCAAGGAAGCTTGCTCGCTACATTTCAATCATCTCACATTTTCACTTTTGTTGTCATAAAACCTAAGAGATCCTCAGTTTGAATGAGCATTTTATACTTAATGTGCAATTAAAAAAGATATTCCATAAGTACACATACATCTACAAACACACCACAATATAAAACATAAAATTTGTTGCTATTTCTATTTAACTGTGTTTTGCTCATTATCATTAAAAATAATTATTATGTCAGATATTTGCATAAAATAAATATGAGTATCAATGTAGAAAATACAAAATCTGATTTTGTTATGAGAAAATTATTATATGGGATTTATTCAAAAAGTTCTAGAAATGTATAAAAAGAATCAAAATGTAAAAATATTAAGATATAAAAATATTTTGATAAATATTAAATAAATTATTATGCTGAGTTTTAATACATTTTCTCCAATAATTTCTCCATTCAGAAAACATTTAGAAAAATTAATTTCTTTCAAACATTACAAAATTTTCTTCAATTCATCTTGAAGAAAACAAATTCCTTTTCTTTTTACCCAAAATTGAAAAAACTTCATAAGTCATTAGAAGGTAGATCAGGAAAATGAATGGTGGCAGAAGATTAGAATTTCCTTGTTTTACTAGTAAATAATTATAATGGCTCTGTGTGGTCTGGAATTGGCATGATGGAGTATCTGCTTTTTCTATTACTATTTCTCAAGTCAACTCAGGTGAATTACTCTCTATTGACACATCTCTGAATTAGCACAAAATGTTAAGATAAACATGCTAATTGATTGCTTAATCTTATGGAATAAATTCATATTCTGTTCTTTTAGACCTTCCATGACATTTTGAAAAAGATTTTAATTTTCTTTTATTTTTTTTTAACATACCATAATTACTATTATAAAAATGCTTGAAACTAAGCATTTGTAAATTAAAACAAATTGTATTTTTGATAGTTTTTATTTTATATTCTTGAAACTTTATTAGCATAATCTTGTATAATGGATCATAGTTTACAGTTACACATTAATACAATTTTTCATTGGTCCCAAAACATTATTTCTTTCAATGGCAAAAATATTTTATTTAAACATCTAGTTCATTATCGAGTTTCATTTATATGTTGTTTTCTTTCTGATGAAGATAATAGATATCACAATATTCTTTTAGAAAATGTACTCAGAATCTGTAGAATAATAAGTGGTGAGTATAAAGATAATACAAGGTCATTAGAATGTACTACAAAATTTGAATGTTTGAATTTTAATACTTTCATTCTACAAAGCATATACTCAAAACTTACATAAAATTCATTGTAAAATTATAAAATTTCAAAACTTAAAATTCATATTTAGTTAGTGTTTGAACATTGAAATATTTAATCAAAAAGCCTAAAGATGGATGTTGAAAATATCCAAAAAACATATGTCTGTTAAATATCAAACTCTCTACAGATTGGAGTTGCTGTATAACATACAGTTCAGAACCCTTGTGTAACTCCAATATAACATGTGCATAGAAATGAACTAACATTTTTGATCTTCCCTTTTTGGATCTTCTTCAGGTCCAGTTTTTCTTGGAAAATTATGAATCCAAAACAAATGTATTAACAAGTTCCAAATATATATATATATATTCTTTTTGTGGAATATTGAACAAATTTTTAAATTTAAAATTATTGTACTGTGCATTCTTCTTGTAGAACATTCACATAATCTATTAAATTCTGATTAAACAAAAAACAAATTGGACAAAGCTTATGCATAGTGATCAAAAGGTTAAATGTAATCACGATCCCATCATGTCTCACGTTTGCAAGAAATTATGTTAGGTGGATACTAAAGAAAAAATTTTTATGCCATCAACAAAGATGTTAAAAGCAGATTTCCTGAACACCACCCTCACTGGATGGGTATGACAATATAGTAATATCAAAGCCTAGGAGGTACTAATAACTTTTAAGGCAGATGTTCAAATAAAATCAATCTTCATTTACCTTTGACAAATTAAATTTATCTCCAGAATTTAGTAAGAAATGAGACAATTATATATTTATATTTTTTCTCTCAAACTGCAGCCCACCCTAGAGGTTAAAATCTATTGATAGGGAATATCACTTTTTACTCAAAAAGTCATGAATCTATCAAATTCCTTTGAGACAGGACACAGATGTTATTTTTCATATGTTGGGACATTGTAAGAATGCTTGTAAGTAGAATTTCTGAACATTAAGACAACAGACCCAACTCATTACCGTCTAATAGGGTACTGGAAGACATATATGGTCCATTATAGTCAGATACTCTGTTCAAGTTCAGATAGAAATATTTTATTAATTTGGAAGACCTTATGCATTTCAATCAGTAATGTATACAATCAGTCCATCCTGAATGCTTGCAAAGTAAGTTTAGTTAGTTAAAGAGCATGTGTCCTTCCTTACCCCTCAAGGTTTGTGTTTGGTCACTGTTTACATGTTTTAACAAAATTGATTTAAAAAGTTTGTTTGAATGTAATTTCTACAAAACTTCATTTAGTAATGTTATGTAAAAATCTTCATAGTTATACAGCTATTACTTCTTTTTCAACATGTAAATGTTTTTATGAAACAAATTTTTCTGTAAAAAAAAGTCTTTAAAAATCCAAATTTAAAATCTGTTTTACTTTGATATAATTCTATTAAAAAATTTTAAAGAGTTTTTGTACATTAAACTGAACTTATACAAATATGATATTCTTTTTCGAATCCTTTTTGGAATATGTTAAATAAGCTGTTTGATTTCTGTATGTGTTCTAAGTCTATTTTATCTCACCTAAAGGTAATAATTAATGCACTATTGAAAGTGTTTATATGAGTCTTGTTTGTTATTAAATATTTTTTTCTAATACCAACAAACAATTTGTTTTTGTCTTTTCATTATTGTGTAAAATATTGGTGAGCATAATGTAAAAGCTGGTTTAATTATTAATACTTTTTTCCAACTTTTGGATACTTCTGCATACTTAGTGACTTCCATTTAATAACTTTTTCTGAATTTTCTTGTTAAATACAACATTTAAATATCATCTTTACTATCATGTCTTAAATATATTGAATTCTGTTGGGATATTAATTCAGTCTACGGGTACTAAACAACTCTTTGACCCGTAGACTGAATTAATATCCCACAGTACTTTAAAGAATCCTACTACAAACAACTTGTATTCACTGTATCCACTATTTCATTATTCTATTATTCAATGCTAATTACCTATAATTGAAAGAAAACAGAATTTCATACTTTCATACAGGTAAAGTATGAAAGTTTGAATTACTGTAAATGGCAAAGAATATACAGCAAGGCTGTTATTTGATTTTTTTATTTTTTATTCATTTATAATCTGTATTAAACTTTTAGCAGGATTCAATACTCTAATTACAGTTCTGTATATCAATTTTTCCTAACCTCAGCTAGGTGACTACTTTACTTATGTGGCCAGATATACAGATAGCTCAAAAGATGGCCACACCCTTGATATAAATTATGCATTTACATTAAGAGGAATTAAAATATATTTAACTTTAAATGTTAAAAATCCATACATGTCAAATAAAGATATAAAAAAAAAACCAATCAGCAAGGAAAATATATATAAAATATTTAATTATATAAACACAGTAAAGTATATTGGTGTATGATATAGTAAAGTTACAAAATGGAACCAGTTCAATGGCATCAAAGAATTTTTAGCTTAACATTTAAAAAAAATTTTTAGTTTTCTATCTACATGAATTTACCTAATTATTTAATCCATAAGAGATATTAAAATAATTATTAGTTATTAATATTTAATTCAATTTATTGTAATTTATAAATCAGAACTGTAAACAGGGAGTTCATTTGTCATTTCAGTTTATTGTGCATCACTTTGTATCACTTTTTGTACAAAAATAACTGCTGACTTATGTAAGTTACTTTTCAGTAAAAAAGAATGAATTAATCTGAAATAAGAATCTACTTACAGAAGATAAAGATAGCAAATACAAAAAAATTTGCAAAAATAAAGCTAATTTCACTTAAAGAAACTCAAAATAAAACTAACATAAAAAGTTCAATAAAATATTTTAAGTTCTTTGAAAATTTAATATAATTAACAAAAAAAAAAAACATTTCTATTTCCAACATATTACTCATATTATATTAATATTACACTAATATATAAAAAAGAGAAAAATAAAACTGACCTGAACCATTCATTACAAGATTAGCATGAGTGTCTCTGTCTCCATTTATAGGCATTACAGGTAATAAATGGACAGGTGTAGGGTGATTAACAAACTCATTAATTTCTGTATTCCCTGTCTTTTCTTTAGAAAATGATTGAGTAGATTCAATATGCTTTACTTCACTGGACACACATTGTTGTTGTTCAGTTTCAGAGTAAATATTATTTGCAATTTCTCTGGAATTTCCAAACGGATTTTGTAAGGCTTGTTTTAGCATTCCAGTTTTGTGTCCATTCTGACCTGCAGATATGACCACACTAACGGCATTAGAAGGCATGTTACATTCATCATTTATATCTGATTTTATCATTGGCTCTCGATGATAGTGATCAACAGGCACAGAAGAAGAATGTACAAATAAAGGCTGGGTAGTGGGCAACTGTGATGTAGGAGGAGGAGAAAGAATGGAATCTGAAGGATTATCAGCTAAATGAAGTACTGATCCTCTAATTTCTCTTTGTGAAAGTTGTTCTTGCTCTAGAGTATATGTCTGAGTTACTGGAATTTCAGTTCTTATAACTGCACGTTTATACAGATCAGAAGGATGTTCTTGGATGTGCGTATTAATTTTAGATTGATTTTGAGGTAATGGAGACCAATGTTGCATTGATGTCTGTGATTGTACTGGCAACTGATTTACTGATGGAGAAATATTTGAAAAAGCAACTGTTGGTAAAGGACTTTGATGCTGAGATTTCACAATTGGTGAAATTGGAATAGGAGTATGGCTAGGAGATACAGCAGGTGTAGTTGATCTGGAATTTCCAAGGGATACTAACATATTAGCTGCCTCAGTCTCATCAACATCAAACTGTCCTTGAACTCTGTGATCTCTGTCAATTGAACCTGCAGGACTTGTCTTATCTTCCTGTGATATTTCATCCCATTCAATTTCTTTTCCTCCAACAGAATCTTTAATTGTTCCTTTTCGACGGCCAGGAAATATCAAAGATGGTGACCTCATATTATTCTTTCCTTTTGAAGCTAAATGTCTTGAACAGTATCCACGACGCTGTGATTCCTTTGTGCAACCATCTTTAGAACACAACCTTCTCCACTGTTTACCATTAAATTTTTTTCTAATTCCATTTGGAGTTGATACAATATCCCCCTTTTTATATTTTAAAGCTGTTAATGCTGGAGAAGGAAGTGATGAAACATGTTCAAAAGAACCAACATTTGGAGGACTAATATCTTCTTTTCTTAAACTGCTTGATGATCGATTATTAGTAACAGGTATAGCTAAATGTAAATTTGGTGAATGACCAATATCAAATCTAATATTTTCTTTTCTAAGATCATCATCTGAAGATTCATCTGCTAAGTGAGGACTTGCACTATTTGTAAATTGTTGTTTATTTGCAAGTTTTAGCAAATTATCTGCATTTGTTTTCATGTTGTTATTTTTATTTATTAATACAGAATTATCAACTACAAACATTTCAGAACTAGATATATTTGTAGTTACTTTTTGTGGTAAAAGTTGTTGAACAGTTTGTATATCTGTTGGCACAGGAGGTTCTGGTTGAAACTGATGTGTTACAATTGCTGGAGATAATTGATTTTGCCAATGAACTTGTGGAATTGGGGGTAATTGTGATGGCTGATCATCAGATAAGTTTAGTTCTTCCCACCATGGAGGTAATAATAATCTTAGATTTGCTCTTGAGACCCATAAAGTTTCACCCTTATTGGCATATTTTGAAGGAACTTCAAGTTTCACATTATATTGCACAGGTTTGGCACTTAGTACCATTACAACGCCTTCTACAAATATATTTTCTTCTGAATTGTCTCTTACACATACACGTGCTCCAACTGTTACTTGGCCTGGAGAAGGACTATGGTCACTTACAATGTCATATTTTCTCTGTCCTAAAACATCATTAATTACAATTGTACCTTGATTTGCATCAAATAAAACTTCAACATCAAAGTCAGATCTAATTTCTTTAATAACTCCTGGCAAATAAAAACCATCTCGTTTAGCAAGAATTCTATGACCTTTCCATTCTTTCAAATCTATTTCAGTTCCAGTAATTAAGTTCCTTTTGTTTAAATGATCAGAAATGAGATTGCTCTCTGAAATATCTTTAACTGGTTGTTGATCACAGCTTGTTTGAAACTGTTCTACTTCTGCTGGACTGAACTTTCGTTTCTTTGGAACTTTTCTGGCAGCTTTTCGAAGGCTCTCTGAAGAATCTTTTTCATTTGGAGAAACTATTGTTTTACTATTATTGTTTTTAATTATCATGGATGATTGTTCTTCTTTATTACATGGTGAAGTCAATATATCATCTTTTTTATTCATTGTAAAATCTCCAGATTTATTTTCTGAGACAGATTCACCTAAATCTGAAGGATTTTTTTTAATTCCACTTGTATCATCTTTATTAATTACTGAATGCTTAGTCATTTTAGAATCATCAAATTCTAATTCATTTGATGTGTAAGATTCAGTAATTTTCTTTCTCTTATTTCTTGACGGTCTGGTTTGTAAAACTGAATGTTTGTTTCCTGTAATATTTTTGGCATTATCAGATTTTCTATTTCGCGTATCATTCCTTTGATTCATTATTATTATACTTAATATTTTTCTAAATCACAATATCATAACTTCTCTTTCAAACTGCATAATGTTCATATTTGCAATTTCCCTAAAAAATAAAAAAATAAAAATACTTTTTAAAACTGGTTTAATATATTTTTTCAAATTTATTCCATAAATTAAAATTATATTACAGTAAAAACCTAAATATACTAATATAAGTAGCATTATATTATATCATAGCAGCTTATTCATTAGTACAGTAATACCCCGAACTTATGCGATAGGTGGGACCGAGCGATAACCATGTAAGTCGAATTCGTTTAAGTCGGGGTATAATTTCGCATATAAATACATACAAATAATTTTTAATTGGGGCCGGAGACTAAAGAAAACAATAATTTAGAAAAAAATGTTTAATAAAATCTTAGATAATACATATGTATAACAAATTAGGCCTATATTATTTTACAATTTTTCACATTTACTTGATTATTACGCCATAATTTTAACATTGTTTCCATCTCAGCGATAATACCGTGACGTTTACGAATGATGCTTGAATTTAAAGATTGAGCATTTTTCACAGCTTCGAGAATTTTTTCTTTGCCTTTTATAATTGTTCTGACCGACAATTCCGGTAGATCAAACTTCTTTGCCAATTCACAAATTTTCATTTTTGTATCGAAGTCTTTAATAATGGGTACGTTCGTAAAGTCAAACGAGTTAAACGCGTTAGTAACGAATCGTTCGAAAAGTCTAACGAAATAGGAATAACGATGACGTCATTCTCGTTTAACTCGTTCGACTTTACGAACATACCCAATGTTAACTTTACATTCCAAAGATAAAGTTTTTCTTTTCTTGTTTGATGCAGAAGAATTAGTTCTACTTCGTTTGGATGACATAGTAGAGTCTCTCGAGTCTCCGTAGATATAACAAACACAGAAATAAATAACACAAAATAAATTGTAGCTATGTGTGGATTCCGCGCGACACATCCAAACATGTAAGCTGAACAATAGTGTGGGGGGAGTGAGTAATCAAGGGTTGCGTGGCGCTCAAACAAAAGACGAATCGACAAGATTTGAAAATCGCATAACTCCGGGTTCGCGTAAGTCGGGGTATTACTGTATTATATCTTAATAAGACTTTTGCTTGTAACCATACCAATAAAATACAAGTTGACATCTTTAATTAAATACTATCTTCTAATCTTAATACAAGTTTAGAAATATAAATTAAATAGAAATTTTAATATAAAATCTCATAATTTAAATTTATTTAAGTTAATACAAGATTTATTTTGTAAAACTTTGAAGGTATATAAGTGTTAATAAAAGATGTATTAATTATCTATTGATTCATATATAATGGATTAATAGTTAGAAACAATCATCCAACAATGCCAATTGTCTACTGTTTCCAAAGATATTGTTAAATTTTGATAGTTAAAAGTCAAGGGATGGCAAGATAGGAGTGGTATAACATATCTCAAGTGGAGACAAACTTAATAAAGATTTTACTTGTTATTAGCATTTACAATTTTTTATTTATAAACAATTGTAAATGCTAATAAAACTCATCCTACCCTGAAAATTAAGCTTTTTACCATTTTATAATAATTATATAACAATGTTTTTAATAAAATATCATAATAGATAGTACCACATAGTTTTACATGTTGCCAAGAAAGTTATGCAACTCATTGCTGGATTTATCTCTATTTAAGATATGTACATGATACCTTAATTGCATGGAATGGTACAAGGAGTGAGTTACTCTTTATAGAGCTTTTGAATTCCATCTATCCTTCCATAAAGTTTTCACTAGATGATGAATTTAATAATTGTTCCATCTCATTTTTGGATTGTTCTATCAAAAGATTACAATTAGGCTTATTTGTCAGCATATAATACAAATTTAATAGTCAGCCTTTACTTAAAAAACAGCCTGCAAAATAAGTTCAGCAAGCTGTTTTTTAACGCAACCATTTTCTGCTCTGGTCCATAGGGTTGCTTAATACTTACCACACTGAAAGAAAATGGCTGACTTCTTGAACAATATAATGTCTAACTCATATTTCAGCTGGAATAAATAATTTTATAAACAAGAAGTATGATAACAAATATACGAGCGCTAAGACGGCTTTTCTTTTTCACTAGACTTATTACACCATCAATGAAACAGAAAACAGACTTTAGAAAGACTTTTTATTTATTTGAGAATGCATTTCGGATAATTATATCCCTTTTCAACTCTTTTGTTACAACTACACAGGGTAAATTAGCATAACGTGTACAAGTTAGTAAAAAAATTTACTAAAATGTTACAAAATTGTAAAAGAACTTACATGAGACTTACATGGACTATGAGAAATGCAGGAGTTGTGACATTAGAAAAAATATGGATGGTGATTATTGCTTAACAGGTATAAGCTACAATAATGATTAAAATGGAAAAGATTTACAAAAGGGGAACAATTAACATAGATGTAAAAAAATTTTTTGAACTTACAGCAAACATGACGGCCTGGTACATAGTATTGGAAAAAACATCCCAGTAAGCATGACACAATGTTGAGTTAACAGAAACAGAAAGGAGGGAACAGAAACAGATTGTTTTAATTTACAGTAGAGTTTCATAGGATGGGGAATGCCATCCTATGAAACTCTAATAATAGGTTACTCTACCGTAAACTAAAACAATCTGTTTCTGTTCCCTCCTTTCTGTTTCTGTTAACTCAACATTGTGTCATGCTTACTGGGATGTTTTTTCCAACATTATGTACCAGGCCGTCATGTTTGCTGTAAGTTCAAAAAATTTTTTTACATCTATGTTAATTGTTCCCCTTTTGTAAATCTTTTCCATTTTAATCATTATTGAAGCTTATACCTGTTAAGCAATAATCACCATCCATATTTTTTCTAATGTCACAACTCCTGCATTTCTCATAGTCCATGTAAGTCTCATGTAAGTTCATTTACAATTTTGTAACATTTTAGTAAATTTTTTACTAACTTGTACACGTTATGCTAATTTTCCCTGTGTAGTTGTAACAAAAGAGTTGAAAAGGGATATAATTATCCGAAATGTATTCTCAAATAAATAAAAAAGTCCTTCTAAAGTTTGTTTTCTGTTTCATTGATGGTGTAATAAGTCTAGTGAAGAAGAAAAGCCGTCTTAGCGCTCGTATATTTGTACACAAGACTAGACACGAAGCTTATCACATAAGAAGTAGGATACTAATGGGTTCACCAGTATTAGGTAACCTAGCAGAAACAGTGGTAGAATGGATAGAAGCACCAATGGATAAGGAAATACAAAAGTAATATTAAACTAATCTATAGATACACTGATGATCTAAACATTATTTGAAACAATGACTGCTCAATAGAGGACTTCATGAAAGCAGCTGACACCAATAAAGTGGGCATTACTCTCAAAATAGATCAGAAAAGTTCATCAAAAGTAAACTTTTTAGATGTAATAGTTTTAATATTTATAATTTAGAAAATTTTCCGTGAATAGAACATCCCATTTAAATTTCTAACCAATGAAGTATTCTAAATGCAAATTTAAACTGAAACAAATTAAATAAATAACTAAATAAAAATAAAAACCCCTGAATTATGTCTCCCCCTATAATATTAATAATAATTTTATTAGATGTAATAGTAAAAAAGCAATATTGTACCAAAGTGTACAAAAAGCCAGGCAACAGCAGTGCATATAATCACTGGTATTCCAATGATTCCATTGCTCATGAACTGGCAGCATATACAGCCATACTGAAAAAAATAGTCTCTCACTCAACCTATTATTAGCACAGAAAATAAGAGATCAGCTTGATAATTGATGTAGCATATATGCATGGGATCCCATAAAAAGTAATACAGGGATTGGTGAAAGCTTGTCTAAATTAAACAGATACATATAACATGAAATCTACAACTAAATTTAAAAAATTCAGCATTGAGGTACTTAACTTTCTCTACTTAAAGAGAAAGAAATCCAAACTGGAAAAGTGCAGATATAAATCACCTCATTAACCTTAGTTTTATTTCCAATATTATCTTAAAAATGACAAATGTTTTCGAACAGCTTGATTGTCCTGTTTCAGGTCAGTAATGTATGTTCTATTTAGAATGTTCATTCTATCGCATTCTACATTCGATTTCAATTCAAACTTCAAATATTTTTGCAATTTAAAAATTTTAATTTACCTAATTAAATTTTACAACTGATGTATTCTATTTAATTTTTATATTAACATCCTATTGGTTAATTGAGGTTATTATAATAATCTTTTGTCAGAGTTATCATAAAAAGCTTTCCAAGCATATGATAACAAATCCACATCTCATATGTTAATGCACTCTCTCTTCAAGGATGTCTTATATATTTCTAACGTCTCTAAAAATTTAGTTTCTTCTCTAATAAAAAACTTTTTAATCAGTGTTGCTTGCTCCAATTTAGCTTCAATTCCTGGCTCCAAGGCATATATGGATAGCACTGTTGTTTGTTATACTGCCTCTTTTATATGCCAGCTCTTTTCCTCCATTGCATTATATTTATCTCAGCTTCTTGTTATATTCCACTACTATTATATCTCTACCTGCATTACTATAATCAAATAATAAACTCCAAATACCTTTAAAATGCAGTCTATTTTAACACTTCTCAAACGTTTTTGGTCAGATTAACAGACCTTCTTCAGGATCGAACTAATAGAATTTAAATTTGCCAAACGGAAATTCCAAAACATTCTATAATCTTCTCATAATATGCAGAAGCCTGGCACATTTACAAATACAGAGAAAAAGGGCAAAATATAAATTTTTGAGAGTCAAGCAGGGTAGCATTGGCATGAAGGCAGCGGTGGCATTACAATTATAAAAATGGACATGCGCAATTGAATATGAGAAGATTATAGAACGTTTTGGAATTTCCGTTTGGCAAATTTAAATTCTATTAGTTCAATCCTGAAGAAGGTCTGTTAATCTGACCGAAAATGTTCAAGAAGTGTTAAAATAGACTGCATTTTAAAGGTATTTGGAGTTTATTATTTGATTCCACTACTATGTTTTTAGACTCTGCCTTGGGGTG